GTGCGTGTATGTTGAGCTCTATTCCGCTTACATGGGGCTGGCGGAGGAGGCTATCGAGCTCCGGGCGCATGCGGGACGTTACGAAGATGCGAAACGTGCTGGGGAGCTTATGAACGTGGTCGCGCAGTATGTCGAGCAAGCCTTCGGACCATGCTTCGTCTAGAGCATCGATCACAATTACGATTGGCCCCACCATTGGACACGTTCGACATGGCTTCAGCACGAGCTCCTCGAATTGTCGGAATATCGGAGCTAACGGCAGACTACGATCATCCTCGATGGCGGCAGTTATGCCCTTGGCGAGGCGACCATCAAGCCGGCTAAGGTCGGCAGCTATGGTGGTGAACAACGCTACTGGATTGTTCCTGCCTTCAGTCTCGCGGTCGAAGAAGAACGAAGATCCAAGCTGCCTATCCCCTGCACATCGGTAGGCGATTGTATGCGCTACCGTGGTTTTCCCCGCCCCGGCAACGGCGGTCAGCAGCATGACCTTCGCGCCACCGTGTTGGTTTGTTCCATTCTGATTGGTTGGACCTTTGACCCATACCATGACGCTATTGACGAGTTCGACCCTTGTATTCTCCATGCATACCCGAGCTGAGTCCCACGATGCGCCCTGTATACGTGGTAGCTTGTCGAGCGTAGCATTCAAGCCCAGCAGCGAAGCTTTGCGTGAGATCGAAGCAGAGTTGACCAATGCTGCGGAGGTATCTTGCATGATGCTTGACACTACCGACGCCCGTCAATATACGTTAGAAACAAACAACGTTCAAGGCACTCACGAGCCTTTTCGTTGGCTATGACTGTGTCGAAGATTTTCCCGACATCGGTCATAGTCGTCATCGTTGTGCTGAGCTGGACAGTCGGTCCGTGTGCATAAGTAATTAGACAAACGAAATACTTGACGAAATAACTGTCATACCTGAAATAAACCTATATCGTCGTCCACCCGTCTCCTCATGTCTGCTATCGTTTCAGGATCTTGCATGAACCTGAAGACGCGCTTGTGCTTTGGCAACGCCAGTTCCGATTTGACCCTTTTGGCAGTCTCATCAAGTGTACTGTTACCGATTGTGGCCGCTCAACGATCTACGATAATGCCATAGAAATGACAACTTACATGTTCAGCTTCTCCATCTTGTTCCTTGCGTCTCCGTAGGATGCATCGGTCTGGGCCAGGGATTGCAAGACGCTCGCCGTGGCGTCCCGCACATATTCCCCAAGTTCCCTCCATTGGTCTTTATTCGTGTGAAATTCCTGCAGAGGAGCGATGAGAACAAATTTCGATGGAGCGCCATACATACTTTGACGGCCTCTGCAATATGGAGCGCATCTCTGGCTGCGCTGCTGAGTGAAGGAACCGCGTCGGGAGAGGCTGCAGTAAGTCGGAGGAGTTGAGCAGCGACGTTGCCTGTTGCGCCAAGTACTCTGTGGGTGGCCATGGTGGACGGGATGGGAACCTGCCTCGGTGCCTCGAGGCCTTACGAGAAGGTGCAGTTAACCCATGACGGATGTGGCCATGATCGTGAAAAGTTGCCACCGCCCCGTTTCGTCGGTTTGGTGGCTGTGGTGTCTAGACGGCCAAACAACTGAGGTGTGACAGACTCCTCACCAGTTACAAAACAGCTATTGTTTGTCCATGCTTAAGGAGTTGGCATGTTCTGTCACTCCAGTTGTTCGGCTGTGTCAGCACTACAGCCACCAAACCGGCGAAACGCTCAAATTCTCTCTGCACACTGGATCAATTTCGAATAGAAGTTATCAGGCACGTTCCCAAACGCTGTATCCACATTTAATCGAGACAATTTTGCGAGATACGACCTGCAGCGTGCGTTTTTGCAATACCCACGGAACTCCCATTCGAGCGCCCTCTTAGGATGAGCTTGTACGGGCCATCCCAAATTCGGATTGGCCACTTGCCGTCAGGAGGTATCAGTCAACGGCAGTTCTGGTCGATGCAGTACTATCCAGTCTTCAACTTGTCACAAAAGCTCTGGAATTGAATCCAATGACCTAATATATACCGTAGAACGTAGAACGAATCCATATATGCGCCGTTATAAGCACGCCGTGGCCAACTTCGGACCACCGGAAGCGCAACACGGCAAGTATGGCACAGACAAGTCGCCCAAAAGCATACCAGTGGGTGTGATTTCAATCCTCAACCAATTAATCCTTGTACAAAGGGTTAATCATGGGTGACGGCCTGGCTGCATGGTTGTTGGTCACAAAAGTTGTGGGGACAAGGGACAAATACCGAATTTCGCCACCCGGGACCCTGCACACCATGACGGCTTTCAAGCACCCAGGGTCGGAAGCCACGCCTTCCCAACCTAGCACTGCAATGTTCAACATAATACTCATCATGCTATAGAATTCAACACAAATAACCGTTTTAACTAGTACAACGCCAGATCTGCCATATGCATACGCCCAACAGCTGCCGATCAGTAATCAACTTCTCGCAACCACTCCTCACACCCTTCCCTTGGCGTAATGGTGCATTGAAATGGCAACGGGTGACTAAGTTAAGGTCACCATAGGCATCTATCTGTAAAAAGTTATATCTAAGCTCACCTGATAACACCAGTCGAGTATTTCTCGTCTGGTGTAATGTCCAAACCATTCTCGTCCTTGGCTTTTGTGATCAAAAAGTTAGCGAGCGTATTGCTAAGAGATCCATTTAACGATAACTCTGCCTATAATGATGGCTCAACATACCAGACGGAGATCCACATCGACTGCTGTGCTATATGAAGGCCAGGGCAAATCCTGAAACAAACCAAGCTCGTTTGTGTGGCATAATCCCGCATGCGAGTCGCTCACGTACCTTCGACCAAACCCAAACGCATAGTTTTCCGGCTCCGGGGGAGGGTTTGCAACTAAATATCGCTCAGGCTTGAATCGCTCAGGCTCCGGATATACGTCTGAATCATGCATCATTTTCCTGAAATAAAACTCAGCTCGCAATATTTTATTTGTTGGGCGGGGAGGATTCACCAAACATTCCCCACGACAACGGACTGTGCAGGAATCCGATACGTCTTGCCGCCTGAAACCACATTGCAATCATCCAAGTCGCTTGACTTGTGCGCAATTGCGTTGACAATCGGATGCCAGCGTAACAGTTCGTGCACGAGCGCACTTGTATACGGCAGGTTCGGTCGGTCCGCCGGCAGAATCATCCTGCGCTGGTCGCGCAGATAACCGGCGATCTCGGCTTGCGCTTTGGATTGGACCTCTGGGTAGAGAGTCATGGCGAGGAAGAAAGACTGCACGCCAGAGACAGTGGTGTCGGATCCGGCCCCGTAGAAACTTGAAGCTATATTCTATTTTCCGGTAATTGTGAGTTAAGCGCAAGGGAATTATACACCCAAGACATACCTTGACATCTTCCTTAGTTTCATCGTTCTCAGGCCGCCCGTCCTCGGTCTGCAATAGCTTCGACACGAAAGAATCTTCAGCAGTGCCTTCGGCCTAGCGATCATAATTAGACGCAAACCAGTATCAATCGTATTCTTGAGGCACCCACAATCTGCTTCAATGCATATTCAAATGGTTCAGTTTGGTGGATGTGATCTAAACGCCTCAGGTACTGCGCCCGACGCTGGAAACTCGCTAGAGGAAACCACGTTGGGAGATATCGCACTGTAACATATCGTAAAGATCATATCGAGGAGGACTCCGAGCCGGGTGCGTACGGAATGGAAAAAAGTCCACTGCCCACTTGGCGGGCGTCATGGCTGATAGGATGATGAATAACAAAGGATTATATTGAAATTGAATGACGTACCATCTGCGAACCCGGCCATGACCTCTTCTGCAACCTGCACGAAGCGATCATCGGCCGAGTTAACTTTATAGCCATATGCTATCCTGACAGCTATACTCCCTGCCATTCTGTACCAACGGTTTGTTATTGGGGTAGCCGAAGGTGGAGTAATCAGCTTACAGATGTACGTGCTCCATGAATCCGGCTGGGTTCTCGGCCAAGCGCCGCATGAATCTCTGAACCTCGTATTGTTGTAGTGGTATGTAGTCGAGTGCAACCCGGTTGTTGAGGGTGCGTTGAAGCATTGTGCGGAAACGCTTGAACTTGGGTCCATACGAAAGGAAGAAAAGATCTTGGTCCCATCCAATTCTGTGTTACAACGACCAGTAATGAGTGCAACATGTGATTCCTCTTTGTGCCAGACGCACAATTTTATCATTTCATTGACATCCTTGTCAGAGTAATTCGCGGCCCGCTTTTCATACAGTTCGCGGGCAAGGTGAGGATCGGATAGCACGAAAAACGAGTTACGAAGCATGCGGACGGTAATAAGAGGTCCTATAACAGACAACTGTTTCTCAAAGTACATGAAAATCTGGCTTGGTACTTACCATACTGGTTGGCGTACTCTGCGAACTTGAGCCAGAATTGACCTGAATCTCGGATCTAGCGCAAGAACAAATTATATAGAGGGCACCAGCGATAAGGAACACAACACTCACCTCTAGCATATTTCCCAATAAAAAGTTGCCGCTTGGTCCAGGAGGGAGCGGCACCGAGTTCCGCGACCGATACCATGAATACAAGCCAGCCGCTAGCGTTCCTCCGATGAGAATTCCCGGGACAAGAGGGCCGGTCTGCATGACAGGATTCAGTATCTACAATCGACGGCGGAGAGTTCGAGCGCAGCACGACGGATGTGGGTAGATCAGCCTTGGTTCAAGGGCCAATATGCACAGCCCCTGGGGCAACCGGGGATCACCAAAACGTGGCCTCAACGTTACCGATGCAGCAGCATAGGCATCTTTGCTGGATACTATTCTGGGTCAAGTTTTAATACCCGAACCTCAGAAACAAGGAATGGCAGATGGGCAGCGTCAGCAAACAGGTGATCTCCGGAGCACCCTGATGCTCTGGATTTGGGGGGTACTGGCTCCACGGGGTCCTGAGCGCTCCGGAGGGCTCCATTATCTTATCCTCATGAGTCAAATTCAGCCTATCGAAAGCAGGGCAAGTAGTGTAAAGGACACAACTTATATCTACAAAGTTATCCGGAGGCGGTTCGAATCCGCCCTTGTCCATAAAATATTTTTCTTTTGGTGAGTTTTAATACCTTTCATAACTTACTCATGTTGTGTTTGCACACAGATCAATGATATAACGAGTGTACACCATGCTACGACAGGGAAACCTTGATTCCGATGTTAAACAATCTCCGTTTACAGCCCTTCAAAAGGAGTTGGGAACATGGTACTACTCCGATGATAAATTCTATGGACATCATGATCGTACCCATACGATAAAAAATGTTCAAACGTCCAACTATCGATACATGAAACTTCGACATAAACATCACCACCCAACAACACCCAGACTCCACGCGACAACTACAACAGGCAACACACTCACTAGCTCGCCAAGACCAGCATACTCGGGTGGAATCCGCGCCTTGCCGAGCACCCCACTCGCCAGCAGGATCGCGACAACGTTGTACACGCCAGCCCAGGCAAAGTTGGCCCATACCCTGCGACGAGCGGCTCGAGCGAGCGAAAAGACGTCTGAAAGTCCGGAAGAGAGGGCCGAGATGAGGACGACCTGGGCTGCGCTCGATGCGACGTCCGTTCCACCGCCGAGCGAGACACCAACGTCGGCCTGAACGAGGGCAAGTGCGTCGTTTGTACCGTCGCCGATGAACATCACTTTACGCCGCTTGGACGTCTGGGGGGTGGCCGGTGGCTGGCTGCAACCTGCTCCGCCACATTCTCCTCCGTCTGAGCACCCTTTCTCGTCTGGCTTGCCATCTGCCTGCAGTCCGCCTTCTTGTAAGAACCGGATCCATTGGCCCTTTTCCTCAGGCATACACCCACCCCGGGCTTGAGCGTTCGGAATACCCAAAGCCGCTGCAGTACGAGCGACCACGCGGGGCGTATCCCCGCTCAAGACGTGCACCTCGATCCCGCGTTGAGTGAGCATCTCGACTGTTGCAAGGGAATCTGGGCGAAGAGTGTCAGACAAGGTAAAGTACGCGATACGTTGGAACCGAGATTGAGCCTGCACGCATCGACCAGTTAAAACCACAAACGCCAGACCGTAACACCGAATGAAACTGACCTCGTCCGCAGCGACCGAAACCACAAACACTGTGTTCTCCGCCTCACCCTCTCCATCCCCACCAGCCCACGCGACACTTCCACCCCTAACCACCACACCATCAACCGTCGCCTCGACACCTTTGCCCGGGACAACCCTGACTTCTCCCACCTCGGTCTTGGCGCATACACCCTGCCCAGACTCGCCAAGCGCCGCGATAACGTGTTCGTGTACCGCCGCGGACACTGGGTGTGTGGATGATGCAGTCAGCCCACGAACCACCGCGTGGATTTCCCCCTCTGTTCCCAACCACTGCTGCGACGGATCTGGATAGTACGTCGAGCTCTCCACGGCGAGTTTGCCGAGTGTCAAGGTGCCCGTCTTGTCGAATACGACCACCTCAACGTCGCACGTACTCTCGAGGGCTTCAACAGTCTACACCTCATCACCATCAGCAACATCGAACCAGGAGGTACCAGCTAAATCGACCCACCTTGAACAGCACACCCCGCTTCGTCCCAACCGCCACCGCGATCACCGCAACCATCGGCACACACAACGCAATCGCACACGGGCACGACACGACCAAGACAGCCACAGCATACCCCATCGCCCTAACCGCCGCCACCCCAGCTTTATCCCCCCTCTGCCTAATCCCCACCCCAATCCACCCAAGGAACGTGACGAGCCCGAGAACAAGCACCACAGGCGCAAGCCACCCCGCTACCCGATCCGCCGTATCTTGCACGCGCAGCCGGGCGCCCTGGGCAGCGCGCATGAGCTCAGCCATGCGCGCAAGCGTGTTCGAGTCTGGCGCAACCGTCACGCGTATGTATAGCTCGGCACCGTTCGGCATGACGGTGGTCCCCGCGACGAGTACCGCACCAGTCCGCTTCAGCACAGGTACACTCTCGCCCGTTATCGCACTCTCATCCACATGAGACTCGCCGCTCTCGACTCGCCCGTCGGTGGGAACTCGCTCGCCAGGTCGAACGCGGAGGACATCCCCGACGTGGATCAAACCGACTGGGATCACTCGAGTTGCTGCCGCGCCCAGAACCAGCACAGCCTCGTCAGCCTGCATCGCGCCAAGTCCGCCCACAGCGTTTGTGCTCCTCCGTCGCGCGTACGCAGCAATCAATCGGCCAAACATTATGAGCGTCACAAGCAACGCTGCCGTTTCAAAGTAGCTCACTGACCCCCCCTGCCCGCTCTTGATCGGCTTCCCCGCCACGGCACACGCATACGCCACGGCCGAAAAAATGTACGCCGTACCCGTGCTTATGGAGACGAGGAGATCCATGTCGATCGTATGCTGCACTACCAGTGCGCGAATACCCGATACATAGATGGGCCGCGCGGCATACACCTGGATGAGCGTTGTCAGCGCCAGCGAAACAGCTCCGTAGATCGTAGGATGAGGGGGGAGGGGCGCCCACGCGAGAACGAGCACGGGGATACAGAGCGCGGCAGAGATGATTGTAAGCTTGAGAAGGCGGAGGACCTCGCGTTGGGCCGAGTCCGCTTGAGAAGCAGAGGCAGGCGGCAGATAGGTCGGATCCCAGGGGTCAAAGGCCGTGAGTACGTCTCGAGGATTGCCGTCGTACTCTACTTCGATAACCCCGCCACGTTCTTCCCGCACAACGACCACGCCTGCAATCCCGAGCTCTTTCTCTCCCAACGACCGAGCCAACTGGAGCCGCATCCTTCGCCTAATCTCCCCGTCCTTCACGTCCCCAACCACGCGGTCCTCCACAATATCACACTTGAACCCGGTCGACGCCGTAACGTGTCGTGCCATATCCTCCACCGCGACCTTATCCGGGTGATACGTGACCGTAGCGCGTCCAGCAAAGACGTCAACTGCACAGTCCGCCACGCTCGGCATGCTCGTCAACGTGCGAACAACCCGAGGCGAACACGAAGGACAATCCATCCCCAGAACCGAGAGCACAAGCTCATGTCGACCAGGTTCGTCGAAGCTGTCCGATTCCGTTATTTCTAGCACTTCCTTGGTCTCAATTTCTAGGTCATGAGCATGACTCGAGTGATCGTGGTCGTGGCCGTGGTCATGATCGTGTTTGTGCAGATGGCCATGCTGGTGATAATGAAGATGCCCACCCGAGTGGTCATGCCCGTGCCCGTGTCGATGCGAATGGCCAAGCACGCTGGTGCTCAACCGCTTCTGAACGCTTCTCGCACAGCAGCACATGGCGTCGTAGCATCGCGCGGTAAGACCCGCCTTGCGACGGGAGCCACGTGTTGGCTTGGAGGAAGAGCCGCCAGAGACGATTGGGACCGCGCTCGGGGCGTGGGCCGAAGGGGCAAGTGTGTGGCTACGGGAAGACGATGGGGAGGACGGACAACAGGTTGGAGGATTGGGCTTGGGAGAGCAGCAACCCGAGGGCTGGGGAGAACAGGCATCTTTCGCTTGGACGGTTGGGGTGATGTCGTTGCAGCATGGCGCGGGGCAGCATTGTTCGGACGCATTGGGAGGGGTTGAACCGGAGCAACAGGCATCGACATCCCCAGAAGAGCAGCATTCGTCGACAGGAGTCAGGGTTCCGCAGCAGTCGACTTTTACGGGTGGATCCGAGCAGGCGCTGTCGCCACAGCACCCAGACTTTGCGGCAGTGGGCTCGGGAACGCCACAACATTCCAGCTGGTCGAGCGACGAGTCGGCACGGGACGAGGGCATTATGTTGTCTACTTTGCTGGTGGGCATCGCGCTTGAAGAAATATCGGTGGTAGGCCGGGGTCGGCTAGCAGGCTCGGTGGAGCAGCACTCGTCCGCGCAAGCAGTGGGAAGAGGTGTGGGTGTACAACCGCTGCAGCACGAGTCGGAGGGCGGTACGTGTGAGACTTGTTCGTTCATCTGCAGGTAAACCGTGCCGATGTCAGCCAGAGGTGGCACTCGCATACCCAACGACTCACGGTGCAAGGAGATACGTGGGCTCGTGGGTGGTGCAAGTGAGTCATAAAACGTCCAAGGTCTCAACACATGAGAGCGGCTGCGCTGTCAGGCGACAATCAGGAAGTCGAAGTCATGAGCAAGTCAGCGAATGAGCGCGATAAAGCAAGGTTCTTCCCGATAACGTACCGGTCTGTAATCACGATGCTGCTATATATTATTCTGCCTCTTGTGGTATGCTGGCAGAAAATGCGTTGTAAAAGGCAAGTGTGGGGGAGAGTTGCGGTTGATGTCGAACCAAATAAATTGAAATAGCCGACAAATGATGCTGACATAATCAACCCAATAAAGCCCTGAACCAAACAAGACCCAGAAAGCAGCTGCTGTATGCTCGTAAATAACACATAGGGAACCCATTCCGGTGTATTTTTAGCCCTCAATGTTCTAGGCTTCTTTTGGAAAACAACCAAGCATGCATTTGGCTTCAAGAGGATGTCCGATACCTGTCGGGCACGATCTGGCCAATTGGAGCCCAGGGATGTAAGCAACTGAATGGGGGCAGGGGCCCTGCTCCAACCCGCTCGCACTTTGCCAGCGCCTCTCGCTCACCCAGCCTGCGCATACTTCCCACTACGCCTTACTGCAACCAATCTCTCGTTTCTCTGCCCTCGAATTAGGCCCCCACTATGCAACCTACAGTCTATATACACCTGCGTTATCGATACAAGCCGTATCGCGGCTCGCCTCTCCAACTTCAATTCCACGAGTTTTCCGAAGGTAGCAATTCGAAAGGCTCCAAACTCTAGGACTTTCTTGTCCCTTGCGGTCTGCACATTGCCTCAATTCTGCTCTGGTCGGACGCCAACTCCCCGTTTCAAGGCTTTCCTTGGTTCGGGATTGACAAGTTATACTATAGACCCCGACTGTGTCCAGTGAAGTTACCAATCCATAACCAAAGTAATAACGCATACCCCGGTGAATGGTAGCCTGAGCTACCCCACACGTGTGCACCACTGCATCTACATAACACTCTGGGAAGCATGCCTCATGGAGCCTTGGATTGAATACTTGGGATATCGA